AGGTCAGGTAAAAGATCTCCTCATTTTCATTCTATTTGCTTTATATCCTTAAACTGAATATTTCTTGTGTCCCTTCGTTTCTTGCTTTTGCCTTGACTTCTGCTACATTCTGCCTTTTCCAAGTATTTTCTATTTTTAAAACCTTCAGAGACGAGAGGAGGGGGAAACAAAAGAAAAAAGGGTTGCTTTTCTTTTTCATGTCTTTCCTGCCCTCCCCCCCTCAAATCTTCTCCTCCCAAAAAATGAATAAAAGCCTACAATTAACCTAAAGGAACTCCCTGGCAAAGAAAAAGAAAGGGATAGTAGAAAAGCAACTAAAGTGTTGATATTTTTCAATGAAAATGCCACAAATGTAAATAAATTTTATGTCTTTTTTTGTTTTTTTTTTAAAGAATAAGTTGTGAAACTAGAAAAAATCTACAAAACCTTTGTTTGTTTAAGGCCATTGAGTTCTCTCACTAAATTTATAAGCAAGTGTCATTAAAAGAAACACCAAAGCATTTGTAAAACAGAAATAAGTGTTTGAAACATTTAAACTTCTAACATTTGTTCAGGGTATGAATACCTGCTTTAGAAATAAAGACTATCTTTACTCTGTGGTGTGTCTCCTCTCCATGACTGCAAATAAGACAAAAGAAAAACTTACTTTTCTTGCAGAAAACATGCTCATTTAGCCCAAAAGAGATAGAAACGCACATTTCATTATTGAAATATGGATTTTATCATTAAAGGAGAACTGACTACTTGTGGCCCACTGATGTAGCCCTCAGTGCTTGACTGGAGACTCATAGGTGTTTAATGAACATGGCCCTTTTGACTGTCGAGCTTCTATGCCTGCCTTGTAACCAGCACAGCCTCTCCTTCTGCCTACTGGAAGTCTTCAGGAAGAGTTAGTTAACACTAAGCATGGGGATCTTCAATCTGCCCCCTGAATTAGGGCGTAAGTCTGACCTCTGGAGGATTCCAGGAATATTTGTGGTTATGTACACAATGGTCAGGAGAAGGTTCAGCCTCTGCAATATGGTACTTGATGAGAAATTTCTCGTGACCATCCCACACGTTATGTCACATTTGCCATTGACTCTGTTTTTTTGGGGTAATGCTGCTTCCATCATTCTGTGTGGTTAGTTGCAAAACATAGTTTGGGGCAAAAAGACTGCATTGCTCTGAAATGTTTGACTAACCACACACACAAAGTATGTGGACTTCAGCTTCTCCAGATCAGGCAGCAAAATTTAGACCTTAGTGGTAAATTGTCTTTCTGCTTGGCCTTCAGTAATGTGGCAGTCTCTGCTTAGTGTGCTCCATGCACTTGACCACTGCTTTTTTGTAGCTAGTTCCTCTGGTGGATCCCCCATGGCATTTAAATGCTTTAGAAGTTCTCAGGGTCTCTCAAAGTCTAGGCTGCATTGGCACAGTCATAAATCTGAAAAGCAGAGATGCTTCTTGGTACTTTTGCCTCCATGCTGTCTTATTTGAGTAGATACTGTGAAATGAATCTGTGTCTTTTAAAAGATATCAAAGTTGCTGCAATGAGGAGCATAGGAAATCTACACCTTGGTTTGGAAATCTGAGACCAGTTTGAAGTATGGAAGGCATGGGTTGAGTGCTAGTTAAAAATGGGGGAAAAAAACCACAAAACCAAAAAAATCCACCCACCAAACTACCAAATATTTTGTTTCTCTACACATATACCTATGTATCATGCTTTTGTTCAGGATAAAAAAAGCTCCTGCCCAACACTAGATTACTGTCCCATCTACTTCTCATTTCTGTGATCTTGAGCAACCAGTTGCTCTGGCAGCAGCTGCCCTGGAGTGAAGTGGGTTGTTGCTCCTCTGGAGGGAAATGTCTGTCAGGGTAGTAAAACAAAACCTGCTTTCTTTACCTCAGAGATCTTGCTAACTATCTTCCCTTCAGAGCAGTGACTTACAAGACATGTCTTGCCATATTGGAAAGATACACATTTCCATCCCCACTAAATTTAAATTAATACCTAGAAGCTTAGTTGAATACAACTAACTTATGAACTTCATACTTAGCTGAATCTGGACTGACTGAAAAAAATGAGTTTGGGACACCTGTTCTTAGATATCTGAATAGCTTTGAGCATTCCTCCCCAGTTTTATTCAAATTTCTAGAGTTTATGAATATACAGGAACATTTGTATTCATATCTATGGACTTGGAATGTGGTTTGCACTTCACATTTATTCATTTAAGTAATAATTTAAAAAAGATATTCACAGATATATATTTAATTTAGACAGAGTCTACTACTATCTGACCCATGAAGCGTTGTATGCCTCTCTTTAAAACCACACATGCCCGTTTATTTCAAGAGCTGAAATGACCTCCTCATGAGGTCATCATATTGTGTGTTTATTGTCATGAATTCTCTCTGCATATCTCACCAAATTATTTTGTCCACTTTGTAATCGTCCCTTATTCCAAGAAACTCTGGTGTAGAATACTCCATAACTGACATAAATTTGTGCTCCTTCCTAGGTAAGAGAATCATCCAAAGTAACATCCAAGAAATTTATAATTTCAGGGGGATTGCTATTGCTGTCACCAAAGTTAACAAACAAGACAGTTAATAGACTCAGAGCCCAGTTAAACATGACAAAAATTCTGAGTTGTGTTATGTCTCCAAAGCATTTTGGAGAAGGTGGCTGTTTGAAGTGTGAATTAACACAGCCTCCCATATATTTTGATCGATATTCCAGACCCACCTATGATTTTATCAAAGGTTTAGGACATTTGATTGTCCATTTTCTGCAGTAATCTTGAAAAACCTGCCAACCTGATCTTTTTACAGACTTAGTACCATCCATGAAATGGGACAGATGAGGGCTAAGACTGCAAATTGCTTTCTGACCTTTTAGAAACATTTCCTTACAAACATCTTCGGGAATTATCAGTGATGAAGTCAGAAAGGTAATTTTAGTTTATTTAAGGCTGCACAAAGACAGAAAAAAAGGAAATGCTGTGAAGACAGAAAATGTATTTGTTGCAAGGTTGGTTTTTTTCATTCTTTACTCCTTGCCAAGCTGAGTACAGAAAACAAAACATCTTCATTCTGAAACTAATTTTCTGAAATCAAGTGCAATAAAGTTGCTTCCAATTTCAAAACCAGTAAACCTGAACTCATCTGAAGCCTGAGTCAGAGTAAATGTCATGCTCTGTAGAAGAGTTTGAAACTCAGTCTTGGGGGCTGACATGTCATTTCAGTTGTTACTTAAAAAAATAAATAAATTGTAGTATACTAATGTAAGAGATCATTAGATAAGAAAGATTAAAACAAAATAAAAATCTGCCCTGAGAGATGGGATTAAATCCTCCCACACAATTCAAAGGTTTGAGCTGTGGAAAATGACACAAATTAACTCACTCTTCCCAAGATGCTCTGTATAATATAATACAACTAAGGTTTGAGCTGTGGAAAATGGCACAAATGAACTCACTCTTCACAAGATGCTCTGTATAATATAATACAACTGGAGGGAATATATATAATACAGTGGAGGGAAACAGTGATGTGTCCTAACATTAGGACACATCACTAGCAGTCACATGTCACCAGCTAGACAACATTTGAAAAAAATTGCCCAAGGTGGCATGGTTCAAGGAACATTCCCTGCAGAGAGCTCCCAAGCCCCCAGGAGCACTTCTGCCAGGGAGCAGCAGCACTGGAGGTCAAAACAGTGCCCAACTCCTTCCTGTTGCTTCTTGCCTTAGCAACTGCCTTTTGCACAGCAGTTAACTTAGAATAAATTATATTTCAGATATGCATTTCTTCTTCACCCTTTCTGCTCTGTAGTGGGGTAGAGTAACTGGAAAGGATTGATAGGTTAGAGGAGGGACACTTCAGAGGAGGGGGAAAACATGAAAATTCTCTGTTCCGTTCCCCGATAAGGTCATGTTTGCACAGGACTGTGTGGGACAGACAGAATGCTGCTCCCCTCGCTCTCTTGTGTTCATTCCACGCCACTTTCACATGCCCAGAGGAGAGACAAGGGGCACTTGTAGATACTCCACTGCAGAACACAAGTGCCTCATGGTGATGTTCTCGGCACTGCACTAGATCTTTTACAGGTAACAGGGAAAAGTTAAGAGCTGGGTTTCCCACAGTTCTGCTAACTTTATGATCTGTGTACCTATTTACCTTCCTTTTTCCGAAACAGTGTTTCGGGGCTGCAGCAGGGAGGTGCCTTGGAGCGAGTGGGAGTAGTTGGCAGCACTTGGGGGTTTCACAGCGACCAGATGTGTGCTCATGCCAGGGGAGAAGGTGAATACAAAGTAAGTGTCCCAGGCTGACGGTGGCACTGAGCGGGGTCAGGTGTGCGAGGAGTGCAGCGCGGCACTCGTGGCTGGGGGCAGTGGACTCTGCAGGCTTGGGCACCAGCTTTGGCAGGATTTGCCTCCACAGCTCTGGGGGAAGAACGGTCTTCGCTCTTCTGAGCGTTTCGGGGAGCTGGAGCACCTCGACACGCTCGAGGGGGGAAGTGTGGGGACCGAGCCGGCGGGGCTGGGCACCGCGGCGGGGGGAGAGGGGAGGACGGAGGGGACGAAAGTCGCAGCACGGTGAGCTCCTCTTCGGGGCTGCGATAATCAGGAGGCGAAGGAGAGACCGCGGAGAGCGCTGAGCGCGGGGCTGAGGCGCGGGGGGCTCTGCCTGTCCGCAGGGTCCCCTCACTGCCTCACCACAGAGCCCCGCGACCCTCAGGCCGAGCGGCACCTCCAGCAGGAGGAGAAGGAGGAGGAGAAGGAGGAGGAGACCAGGCGCTTGACTGCAGAGGCAAAAGACAGAAAAAGGAGGAGGGGAATAAAAAAGTCGAGGGGGGGGAGAGTTGCAGATTTGCCGGTGCTGCTTGGATTGGATCTGGTTTGAGTTTCCTCTCTGCTGGGCTGTGCAGCGAGAGAGGAGGAGTGGAGGGAAATAACTCGCTCGCTCTTCCCCTGAAGCTTAAGCAAACGCGCTGGTGCTTGCGCTGGTGTGGAGCTGCCCTGGCTGCGGTTGCCTCGCAGCTTATTGCTCTCAGTTACCTAAAGAACTGCCTGGACTTCTCGAGGACCTAGAGGAAAAAGCCATCACTTCACAGACCTGATAGTTCTCAGTGCCTATAGACTTGACACATTTGGGTGTTGTTATTTTTTTTTTTTCCTAGGGGTTTCTTTTTTTAAATTATTTTTCTGCCGTGTCTCTCAGAATAGCAGTTCCTTGAGTGTGTGGCATTGAAATCCATTGTTTTGTTAATAACTTTGGGAGATATTTTTAATTTTTTTTCTCTCTTCTGTTTTCTTTGCCTTAAAAAAAAAAAAAGAAAAAAGAAAAAAAAAAAAAGAAAAAAGATAATCCTTTTGGGGGAGGGGAAATGATCGTGCTGATGTGGAATAAGTGCTCCTGCTGTCTCCTCTTACTAGCCGCGGTCCTGATCGTGGAGAGCTCCCAGCTAGACAGCTCCAGCTCCAAGGTGAACTCCATCAAGTCCACCCTGATGGGGGAGGCTCCAACTCAGGCAACCAACAGATCTGCAGGCATCCACCAGGGACTGATGCTTGCTAGCAGTAAGAAGGGCAAAATGCTAGAGCAGATGGGAAAACCTCCCAAGCACTATCACCGGCAAGGAGAGGTAGGACATCACTTCATTGCTCAAGTGTCTGTCCATCTTTGTGCTATATATAAATAATTGCTAGTCTTCCCCTCACTTTATTTTCAAAGCTTTAATGAATTTATTTCATCTGGGCTGTCTGGGACAACATCATCTCATAATTGGTGTTAAGAACTGTGCAAGTGGGAGTTGGAAGTTTTTAAATCATTCATTTTTCTCTTAGGGTTAATAACTGATGGAAGAAAGAGCAATCTAAAAAAATGCCGTCTTCAGAATTTCTTTCTTTGACTCCTTCAAAGGGCTACTAGAAGTAAAGGAAGAAATTCCTGGTTAACTCTCAGACAGTAAATGAGTTGAATTTGAATAGGTGGGGAAAATTTGAGCATGAAGTAAAAACTGTTCACAGGGGTGAAACAAGCTTGGTTTTAAAAATCACACCTAGCAAGTTCATCTCTGGTATCTTGCTCCTTGGTGAGAATAAAAAAGTATGCTGTCCCAGTGGTATAGTTTAAGGTACTATCATTTGTTTAAGATGACAGGAAATAAATTCTAGGTTTCATATCCAGTATACACTTCAGTGGGTGTGGAAGTTTTGTTTGGTTATGAGAGTTTGAGTGTGAGGAAGAGAGAAAAGGTTATAGAAACTTGTGAAAAAGCAAAAAGAAAAGGCTGCTTGTGCAGTCTTCTTTGCTCTCTACCCTGCCTGGAAACTTGGAAGCCTGATTCAAAATAATCTTCATTTACCTATCTTTGTGGTAAACTATTAACCAGCCTTTTAAGCCATCGGTCCTCCGCTTCCCTATCAAGTCTCAGCTTGGATGGTATGAATGTTGTGCATTGTGATGCTGAAGAAGGTGGACTTCTTCAGAAAATATAGATTTTGTACTATTGGGTATTATTAGTATCTCCAAAGACAGCTGCTTTTCATAAGCCACAGTGTAGCAGTGAGGGAGCTGCCAACATTCAGCACTAAAAAGGCAAAATGCTCAATGACTGAAGGATCTCTATCTTGTCTACATTTTCCTTACAGCAGCAGAGAAGCTGAAAATTAAATTAATCCACTGAATTTGCTAAAGTGTTTCACATTAGCTTCCTAATAATTGAATGTTATAATTTGGTTTTGTGTGCAGGCACAATAGCAGTAGTGGTAGTTTTGGTTTTTGCATGTGAGAAATTTGATTTTAAACTCCTCCAAGCTTTCTTTCCTTAGCCACTCAATTGCTTTATAATTTACCCAGAATTTGGTTGCCTCTCCTTAACTCTGGGCAAAGTTTAGTAACAGACATTTTGATGGTGTTTCATATTACTAAAGTACTGTGGTCTTTCCTAGTTCACATTGTAATAATTACTATGTTGAATCACCTTGAGGAAATAGAGGAGCCTATACACCTTGTATTATTCTCCTTGGATTTTCTTATATTTTCTATGTATTCACAAAGTGTCAATATACAAGTCCTATTTTTCCACAGAATATTATCTCAGTCTCATGAGTTTTGTTAGGCTGTGCTGTAAAGCCTTTTGCCTTATGGGGAGGTCTTGCCACCTTCCCTTATGTACAACAGCCTTAGCACGTCAATGTGTATTCAGTGCAATGTCAAGAATAATTGATTTTAGTTCACTCAGTTCATGGAAAACAAGTTGTACTACTCACTGGTGGCATTTGAATGATTTGCCCCTTACTTGCCAACCTGGACTGGGGTTTGCTCAGGACTTCTGGTTACTGGCGTGAATTCACAAGGCAAGCTTCAAGTGAGAGACAGCTCTGTAAGTATCTGTAGTGGTGGAAGAGATGTCATGCATGTTAAGATGTCCAGTGTGTAGCACAAGCAAAGACCCCTGGAGGACTGGGGACTGTGGCTCTCAGGGCTATCAGTGCTGAATTCACCCTCTCTCCCTGGGACCCAGTCCCCAGGTCCTGCATGGCCTCATGCAGATGTATGTGAGGATGGCTCAGATTTGCTTGCAATAATTGTAGATGCTACTTTTGAAGCAACACAGTTAACACAGAATTGGTATAAAAAGAAGACAAGAAAGGAGAGGAGAGGAGAGGAGAGAGGAGAGGTAGAGGTAGAGGTAGAGGTAGAAGTAGAGGTAGAGGTAGAGGTAGAGGTAGAGGATGGTAACCACTAGGCTGAGGTAATTAACTGAACTGAAACACTCATCCCTGGATTATTTCTAATGGAATTGCAACAGCAAAGTTCAAAGATTAAGCTTAGGCCAGATTTTAGCAGACCAGAATGCAACTGTGATCTGCAGCTCGATGGGGTTTGCTCTTGGAGATGAGCAGAAGTTTTTCCAGCCAGCAGACAGACACATAGAAGCAAAGTGCAAATACTGGCTTTGTACTGTAGCACAGTACCATTAAAACAAGGAACATCATCCGAGAGGAAAAAAGTTCTAAAGGGAGCATGGGAAGTATCAAAGCCTTAAAGGACAGAAAATAGCTGGTATTTCATTTCCCTAGTGTGTCTGCACTGTTTGTAGCTGAACAGTCAGTTGCTGCTCTGCTTTATTCTACTGCTAGTGCCTTCTGTGATAATGATTTCTCTTTGGTAAGCCACTGCATTTTTTTACAGTGGTGTCACTCATATGAACCAATTAATACATGACATTTTCATATTTTTTTAAACTACTCTCTTATTAGGTTAGTGCTTGATTCGTTTGGATTGTGAGACTTTGCGCTGAAGTTTGCCAAGCCATTTACAGGCCTATGATTTTCTTTCTAAAACAATCTACAATCTGTTGCATTAGTGGCATTTATAATGTCTCAAAAAGAAGAGTACCTTTTATATCTTGGCAACATTAAATGGTGAGTTGACTGTCTTGTTTACAACTCGGAAATAGTTGTAGTAAGGATCAAGGATCAAGGTAACGGGAAATTAACAGAATTTTGTGGTTGTGACAGCTCTGAGCTGTGCTTTCAACTCTGCACATACACTTAGGGGAAATCAGAGGACTCTCACCAAAACTGATAAAAGGACCATCAGCCTGCAACCTATTTGTTTTTCAGTTATGTCAATTCTCAGAACTAGGAGCAACTTGGGAGTCTTTAATCAGCGATAAATCAACGGATACAACAGTTCATGGTTTATCTAGAGTGTTGATGTATTTCAGCTGGTAGTTACAGTGCTTCTGCCCAGAAAGGGAAGATCCAGCTCTCCTTTGTCAGGCAAAGTTCCAGTTCAAATTAATGAAAATACTCACATGAGCAAAGCAAGCTGATCTGTCTTGCAGAGAGACTAGCAGGGCAAATGTGGATTTTAGTAAGACTTAACAGTTTTATGTCTTTCTGAGGAATATTATTTATTTTCTGTTCTTATTCCCTTTACTGCCTTGGATCAGCAGAGAATGAGAAGCATTGACGTGCTAAATCGGTGAGATTTCACTGTCTTCACTGTTCTTCACTGTCACTACTGTGAAGGATTTTCCCTTTCTGCAAACTGTTAATGTTTTCCCAATTTCACAGAGAATCAGAAGGTATCTACAGTGTTTGCACAAGGGAAAAACATGCTCAGAAACAAGACTGTTCAGTGCATATTAGTCTAGGTTACTTTTGGGGGATCAGTACTATACACTGCTATTAATTTCCTTTCAAAACTTGATGTAGAGAAATGACTTCTAGGGACTTCTAACACCTCAGTACTGTAGGCTCTCTGGGAAATTGGTCTGCATATATAATTTCTGTAGATAAATATAATGCAGTGAATAGAGTCATAACTAAAAACCAGGCCAGATTAGCAATGAAGGTGGATTAATTTTTATGCTTGTTAGCTATAACTTCCGCTATGTTCAGACAAGCTCTTCCATGTGAATGCTCTAGCTCAACCATAGGGATGCAACTTGAAAGGGAAAATCCCACATATCCTAGCCGTGATTGAAAAGCATAGCCTTTCCACAGTGTGTGCATGTGGAGGGTAGCCTTTTTAATTCACTTCACCATCTTTTTGACTTCTTGCCTCTAGGTTATAGTCCCCTCTCTCCTCTGAGGCTTGACCCCTCAGGCAGTGCTGGAGTTTGCACTTCTCACTCAACCACATTTAATGATCTGGTAGGCTATTACCTCCCAAACTTTATTTCCAGATATTTTCCTTCTTTAATCTGTGGGCACTATTATCTTCTGCCCTTTCTATGTCCTGCACACAAGCCATTGTTTCAGCTCTTTCCTCAAGCAGGATGGGTCTCTTATTCCCTTTGCTGCTTTTTAGCTGTTTGAGTTTGTGTTTCCATTGGGACTGTCCCACCCATTTCCCCCACAAACACAACGGGAGCAGCAGCAATGAAGGGAAGAACTGGGATAGCCAAGAGAGAGGACTGGCACAACTATGGGGCTGACAAAGAGATAGTGAGGTCTGGAAAAGGGAGAGAGGAGTCAAAAGCTGGGATAAGTTTTAACACTGCAGAGGCACAATAGAGAGCTATCAGATAAGCCTCAGTATTCTAAATGCACTCAGTTTAATGTCAAAATGTATTTATTTTTTTAACTCTATTGCAGCTTGAGCTAAGAGGTTTGAGACCATAGAAGCCAAATCAAAGAGGCACTAGTTCAAATTACTAATTTGACACTGATCTCATACCTATCGACACATGGACATACATGTGTTTCTTGGACAGGATGTAGTTACCCACAAGGACTTGCTAGAAAATGTTTGGATGATGCTTTGTAGCAAGTAAAACAGCATGAGATGATAGTAATTGAATGCAGTGCCCTGACAATGTTACAATAAAATGTACCAAAGACACAAAAAAACTAACCACAATATCTTAAATAGCTAGCAACCAAAACATAAATTATTTCTCCATGGGATTAAAAATAAATTAATTACAATACCTAGAAATAATATCCAGCAACAGCTGCCTTTTTTTTTAATTTAAGAAAAAAAAGAAATACAGAATTGCTAAGTCTGCAGACGTCACCAGAGAATCTATTCTTTGCTCTTGCTGTTTGCTGTTAGGAATCTGGGTGACATACTGGTTTACTGGCAGCAGTCTTGCTAAAGAGTGGCTTGTCTCTTAATTGAAAA